ATTTGGGAGTCATTTGGGAGTGCACCTGACTGAACTCAATGGGATTTAGTCTTGAGTCAACATACATTGGTTTAGGCAGTAGGGCTAAAATTAGCAAACACCTTAATCTGAAATCATCCCACTAATGGCATAAGTCTTTTGTGGATTGCAATTTCTCTCCAACAGCTAAGAGGTTTTAGCAAAGAATGTGGCAACTTGCTCTCTCTAATTCTTGCTCTCAATCAATTACTTTTAATTTGAAGTTTTATATACTCTGGTGAAGTGCAATATACACATGACACTTGTCAGTTTAACAAAAAAAAAAAAAAATCAGCGTAAATGGCACAATGGCTAAAATCCATAAACTACTTAAACCATCTGTCAGCTTAATAAACAAGCCCAGTTAAAACTGAAGTTTTTGGATTTCAGCCCAGTTAGGTCTAGCAAAGTCAGGCGAATGCAAGTGTCTTCAGTCCAAGGCGCTTCAGTGGAATGCAAGGATGTCACAGTGGTATTGTTACACCAGAGTGCAATGTTCCAGCTTCACAAGAAGCCCATTTCAGAATGCCTGGCCTTTCAAACCACAGTTCATTTATGCCAGACAAATCTTGGAAGAGCACTGCAGATAATAATAGTCTTTCAATCAGAATTCCATAAAATGTGTGGTTTGTTGACTTGGCTAAAAACTCAATGAACTTTACTCTGTAAAGACACTCATTCGCTTTGATGGTAGTGCTTTAAGTGGTTTTATTCTGAAATAGTCCTCTTGGAGAAGGACTTTCCATTTTGGAGTGGTTTGGACCTTGTCACTTGCCTGATTTAACTGCTGCACACTGTTCTGAGAGTGTCTACTAAAGAATGGTAAAAAACCCCCAAACTTTAAATAAATAATTGTTCTGGCTGTTTCAGAGCAGGACTGCGTATGATGCTATCCAACAATAAACCTGCTAATTTTTTCTCCTTTGGCCAGTAACCAGAAGTAAAAACAGGGCAACTGAAACATAGTAAGAATGATTGCATTGCCCCTGCTGGGTTTTTCTCTGGAAACAGTGGGCTACAGCCCACTTCCCTGGCTCTTTTTGTGGCCTCTAGTATCCCTTCCCTCACTTACTGCTGCCAAATGGTAGCAGCAAACTAGAGATGTGTTTGCTAGAGATGTGTTGTGCAGGCGGATGGAAAGGAGAAATGACCTTCCATTTTTGCTGAATGCGAGTGAGAGGACAGTGTTGGACAGAGCCCAATAACAGTTTTCTAGTGATCTCATGGGAAGGGCCAGTCTCGCAATGAGCAGAGGGAGACAAGGAATGCAGGGGCCTGAGTGGGACGGTGGCAGCAGCTGCCCCAGCCGTTTCTCTGGAGCTCTGTCCCCTTCTGTTGGCACTGCGTGTGCCGCATGGCCTGCTGGTTTGGTGGAGGATGCTGCCCTGTTGGCAGTGCTGAAGAAAGAGTCAACCGCCAGGCCTGCTGTTCTGGATCTGGAAAGTGGGAGTGGGTGGGCGCCATCATGTCCTGCACCTCAGAGAGCCAAAGTACAGTTTGTTAGCTATCTCTAATCTGAAAATCAAAATTATTTTGAAGCATAGCAAGGGACTATAGTGGATATTGGGTGTGAAAGCTATTTTCCAACCTATTGTTGAATGAGGGTTAGGGTTGAGGGTCCCAATCTGGCCTTCCAGAACAAAGGCCTTGGCCCCATTTGTGCACACTTCTTCCATTATGAAAGGTTGAAATGACTCTCCTGAGCATTACTAAAGCTGCTTAACCCACTGTTTCTACTTCTGCTTTCGTTGCTGAATTACAATTGCAGCTCTGCATGAATGATTTTGCTTTCTTGCCTTTCCCTGCTTTCTGCTAGGTGGCACTGTGAAATAGGAGAGGAACACAAGTACACTTGTTGAAAATAGCACATGGTTTCCCTTTAACAAAAAATAATTGATTTTTCCTAACCCAACTCCACAGATTTTTTCCAGAAAAATAGAAGGCACTGTGAAACTGATGATACTGCAACATATAACATCCTTGTAAACAGTCATGAGTGGGGAACAATGAGCACACAATAAAAATCTTGTCTAGACAAGTTCTCTTAATTACTTGCTGCAAGATCGTTAAGATAAAATATGATGGCATTTTGTAGAGAGGAGGTTGGGATGGGGTTGCCCTGCTCACCACTTGACCCTGGTCAAACGACTGTGTACCCTATCCTATTGAAAGTTAAATTATTGTACCTCTGTCACTGTAATGAATTCTGTTATGCTTGCAGTATGCTCAAGTTACGCAATGCTCGATGCTAGAGCGTTTTTGCCCGGGGTGGTGGTGCTATAATTATGTGACATTTATGCCCTGTCTTTCTTCTCCTTGCAAGTGGCTTATAAGTTTTTTCCAAGCAGTTTTACATTTATTGTGATAACTGAGAGCCAGTGTGCTATGGTGGTAAGAGTGTTGGACTGGGGACCTGGGAGTCCAGTCAGCCATGGAGCTCAGTGAGTTGGGCCCATCACTTCCGCTCAGCCCAACTCACCTCAGAGGGTCACCGTTGTAAGGATAACAGGGAGTGGAGGAGGACTATGTAAGCTACTTTGGCTTCCATGCAAGAGGAATATGAATGCAATAATTACAGGGATTCCACAAGTTATTTGTGATGAAGGATATAGATTATATACTTGAATGTTTATATTTTTATTGTACAACACCTCAAGTGTTTGCTGACTACTGGTGTGATTCAAAAATATTCTCAGGGTACAATCCTAGGCAAATTTAGATGTAGAAAGTTTTGTAACACCCAACATGTCCCAGCCAGCCTCAAAATTATATTGGACTTGTAGCAATTTGACCCTCATGGCTTCCCTCCACAAAATCTTGGGAACTCAAGTTTGGTGAAGTTGCTGGACACTCTTTCGGAAACCCATAGTCTCCTCAAAGAACTTGTCCATTGTGCACATGCTATTAAGCCAGTTTTAGTCCTTGGTGTGCGTATGGCCCATATTTTACTTTATTGACATTTGCTCTCTGTTCTCTACACAGTTCCTAACGCAGTTCACAAATCATGAAAATTCAATCTGTGACAAGAAAGAAACAAGAATAGCTACATCCGAACTGATTCTCAGTTCCACCAATGCTAGTGAGGCTACAGAGTGAATGAATCAGACTAGCAGAATCATAAAATTATAGAGTTGGACGGGACCATCTAAGCCTTTGAATTCAATTTGCTGCTTAGTGCAGCAATGGAGCTTAAAGCACCCCTGACCGATAGCTGCCCAGTCTTTGCTTGAATTGCTCCTGCGAGTGAAAGCCCGCCACCTTTCTGGGTAGTTAGTTGACTCATACTGGAATAGAGCAAGATCCAGCCCATCCAGCATTCTGATCGCACAGTGGCCAACCAGCTGCCCACAGTGAAACTGCAAGCAGGACGTGAGTGCAATAGCACCTTCTTGCCCATGTTCCCCAGCAGACTGGCATACATAGGCATACGGCCTCTGATAATGGTGCCATGGTCTGACAGTTAGGAAGTTCAGCTGGAATTTGCCTTCCTGTCACTTGTCCATTATTTGTTGCCCTCCATTCTTGGATGAGAGCAGATTGTGGCCTCCTTCTGTGGGCTCCTGTATCCCTGCAACTTCCATCTTTTCTCCCTCAGTTGAAGCATATCCAGTTCTTCCAGCTTTTCCTCATAGGACTTAGTTTCTAGTTCCATGATCATTTTTGATGCTCTTCTCTGAAAGCACTCCAATGTGTACGAGTCCTTCGTCAAATGTATCTGAGGTGAGGTCTCACCAGCACAGAGTAGAATTGAACCCATGCTTCTGAGGCTAGACTTCTACTGATGTGACCTGAGGCTGTATTTGCTGCTGACTCACATGAAGCTTGTGACTGACTGTAGCACCAAGACCCTTTTCACTACACTACTGCCAAACCAGACACACCCCATCTTCCCCTTTTGCATTTGATTTCCCCCTCCCAAATGAAGAACACTGAATTGCTTGATTTCTGCATAAATGACGCTGTTAAAGAAAATATTTCCCCTGATTGAAGCAACAAGGGTTCTAAGACGTAAGAAAGTCAAAAATATAAAAGAAATCTTTATCAAGAAGGTTGGAATTTGCAAAGATAAGCCTGGAGGCAGATGTCTGGCAGCAAGGAAAGAGTGTAAGTCAAGATAACCCTGTACAAAAGCAACTAAATGTTTCCTTTTTATTACCTTTTCTTTACTACTAATGAAACCTTTCTGCCTTTATTATGAAATGCATCTTGTTATATTTCCTGTCCTTGCCAAATTAAACTTATATATAGGGTATGCAAGTTGGACAGTGAAAAAGCTAGACAAGAGGAAAATTGACTCATTCGAACTGTGGTGTTGGCAGAGGCTCCTGCGCATTCCATGGACAGCAGGAGTCATGAACAAGCAGGTTCTGGAGCATATTAAATCAGACGCGTCCCTGGTCAGCAAGATAACAAAGCTGAGGCTCACGTATTTTGGCCACGCCATGTGATCAAACTCATTAAAAAAAGGTACAATAGTTGGAATGCTTGGCGTCAAGAGAAAAGCAGGTTGCCAAAGAGCAAGGTGGTTAGACTCCATCAAAGAGGATGTGGCCAGAGCATAGCTCAGCTGAAAGGGGTGGCACAGGATTGGAAAGTGTGGCAAGGTTTGGCCCATAGGATTGCTTATAGTTGGACATAGATGAATGTGGACAGCTGATCCCCACGGGATGGGCTTGCTCTGTATTGCTGGTGCACACCTACAATAAAGAGGCTTTTTAATGACTTATGTTGGCCTTGCCTGTCTCTCGGACAGAGGTCAGACAACAAACGAAGAGGACCTTCTTTCCCCAACAGATCTGGAGACCCAGATGGGACTCAAGCCCAGCTGGATCCCCAGTATCCATAATGCTTGGTGATCTCTTTCTTCTGGGCTGGGAAAGGAAGAACCCTGCCAGGAGGGGTAATTATCCAGACATGGCATGAGCACATTGGGAAGGCAGAGGGCACGGGAGCAGCACTGAGGAAAGGGAGCTTTTCCTTACAGTCCATTTGGCCAGCGTAGGGAGTCAGCAGCACGGCGGAGGCGAGCTCTTCTTCAGTTCCCTCGAGCACAGAGCGGGCCCTCTCAGGAAGCGTCTTACCAGCGGGAAGAGGAAAGGTCGAGATAGCGTCGAGGAGCACCACACAGACAGACACCACGTCCCATAACTTCATTTTAGATTCCCTTCCAGCACAGGACCCTGGAAAAGTAGAGAGAGTGCTTGGGTTACTTATTTATTTGAACTATTTGTGCACTGCACTTTTGGATCAAAGCAGAGCGCAGTACACAGGATGCATTAAAAATCACACAGATAAATGGACAGATGGACAGATAAAATGGACAGATAAAAGTGAGAACAAAGACCCCGCACCAAGCAAGGGATTAAAATTAGCAAGTGCCTGGGTTTACACGCTGGCTTCCAGGCGGCACCTAGATGCAGTGAAGTATGGTGACTGTCAGAATGCAGGGTGGGTGGGGGCAAGAAATTTGCACAGGCGGGGTGCCACAGCAGAAAAGTCCCCCCATTAGATGCCCCTATGTGGGTGACATGGAGCCTGGTAGGCAGATCTCGGTGAATGGACAGTTGGCACAGGAGAAGATGTTCCCTCGGGTAGCCTGGCCCCTCATATGGCAATGACATCAACTTGAACACGGCCCAGAAATATATTGGCAGCCACGAGAGCAATGTTTGCATCTTCCTTCTGAGTTCCGAGCATATGCCTTACGTGCCAGTCATCTCTGGCCTCTCTCCTACCCTCTGGGCTAGGATTCTGCCATTTTAATGTTCAGTACCATAACAAACACAGACTGTGTTTATTAGGAGCAAGTAATAACTTCTCTCGCTGTGACTCAGCCGCTGGCCAGAGAGGGAGGCCCGTCTGCCTCTAAAATCTGGAGAAACTCAAAGATGCTGCGGAGGAGCCATGATCACAGCTGGTGCCAGCAGCCGCCATTCTTGGGCAACTGCTCGTGCCCCAGTGACCTGGCAGGTCCCGCTGCTGATGCCACCACTGCTGCTATTACCCTAACAGGGCGGCTATGAACCCTACTTTGGAGACAACAATGGCAAATTCATTGTTGCCATACTACCAAGGACAGTCCAAAAATGCAGGCAGCTCTGTCCGCCAAAACTAAAATACCAAAACAAAACCGAAACCGTTCGTGGAGTTTTCATTTATTTCTACATTTATATCCCACCCTTTTCCCTCTTGCAAGGAATTCTGGGCAGCTTTGATAGCCCCCCTCCTATCATTTCATCATTATAAAAACATCCTGTGAAGTAGGTTAGGTTGAAGAGTCAGTGACAGGCTGAAAGTCACCCAGGGAGTGTCATGGTCAAATGGCAGATCCCCTAAGTCCCAGGCCAGTGCTTTGGTCTCTACACTGCACTGGCTCCCATCCACTAGGACAGGGCCCTTTGTGAAGCCGATGGGTCTCAACTGCCTATTCAAGGGCAAGCCGCCCTTAAACACTTTGCACAATAATAGGAGCAACGGATCCATCCCGCTCCCACTAGCTACTCTGCGCAGTGCAGCTAAGCTCTGGGGAAAATGGGAATTCTGAGCAAGGGAGCACAGGACATTGGGCGTCCCTGCTAATAAAGGACAATGCTGCTGCTGTGCCCACTGTGCCCACCGACAGGCACGCAGGCCACCTGGTCGCGCTCTGCCCACACACGTGACGGTATGCGCGGCACATTACTTTATGGTTTCCAAATGTACATCTTCACGTACAAGTTACCCCATTCAAATGTTATGCCTACCTTTGTCCCCCTTTCATGCATCTTTTCAGGTGCTGCGTAACTGGTCATTCCAGTAGCATCATCCTGGGAAATTGTGGGCAATGGAAATGGCAGCTAGAGCTAATCACGGGGCCGGCTCTACCATCAAGCAGGGTGAAGGAGTCACCACAAGCAGTGGATGCTGGGCAGTGGCAGCAAGCTATTGGAGAAGAGACTTGTAGGTGACATAGCCCATCCCGCATTCCCTAAGCTAGCTTGCTGTTTCAGGTGTGGTGGAAGATACTATCCCATAGAAAGCTCTGAAGCAAGAATCAGTTTTTTTGCACATGGAATCGTGGGGAGGCCAGCACCATCTTGGTCCTTGCCTCAGGGAGGAAATGTCTTGGGTCAGCCCTGCCTCATCACCCCATTGCTGCCACTGATCTCCATTAAGTCCACCAAGACTCCTCCATAGAGTAGGTGGAGGACACTTTGCCTTGTCCAGCCTACTTCAGTCCACATGATATAATGGTATGGAGGCCGCTCAGTACATCTGCATTTGAAATGACAAGCTCACGTCCAGCTGTGAAGTGAACTACACAGAGGAAGAGAGGGCTGGAATGTGGCACATAAATGTCAAGGCTAATGAGCAAGATTTGTCAGACAGCTGCAGAGAACCAAACCACTTCAGGTATGTGGGGAAACACTGTACAACAGGCAGGGTCCGAGAGGAAGGGCTGTGATTTCATTAACCCAGTGAACTTGTGTCAAGCCAAATAAGTGGCCCAATTAAGTAACATATGCTAAATGGCATGAACCTGCCTGAGCCTTTTGGGAAAGGAAGGAAAGGGGGAATCTTCAGTTTGGAATCAATGCTTCACATAGGCAGGAGCTGCTCCTGCAAACCAGAGGAAGTTTGTTTTGACTGATGCTGCTTGAGAACAACCTCCTTATGAAACACCTTGTATCCCAAAACCTTCTCTAGCTCAAATAAAGGACTGCACTTTAGAAGCCTTTGGTTTAGATGTGCTGGAAACGGGGAGAGGCATGTTCATGTTGTGTTCCATTTCAGCAAAGACTTGCCCAGAGATTTTCCAAATGATCACTGAAAATGTGTCACAAACACATGATACAATGATCCAGCAAAAGATTTTTCTAGAAATAATAGTGTTATATTGTGATGGGTAATAATTGCCCCATTGGTTAGAAACATGGAAACAGAATGAGTCCGAAGGGGTCTGGCTCTAGCCGGCTCCATTCACGACATCCCACCATGAGCATGACTAGCCTATGCTTGAACACCCTCACTGATGGGGCCTCAACCATCTCCCGTGGAAACCCATTCCATACCCTCGGGGTCCTGTCAGGAAGTACTTCCAGGCACCCAAATTGAACCTTGGTTCCTTGAGCTTGGCTCCAATGGAGCACATCCTGCCCTCCTCTGCAGGGGAGAACTGGTCCCTACCCACCTCCATGTGACATCCGCTCACATACCTATATGTTGCCTTGGAATCTCCTCTTCTCCCGGCTGAAAAGACCCAGTTCCCTCAGTCTCACCTCAAACGGCTTTCCCTGGTTCTCCTGGTCCTCTCAGTGGCTCTTGGTACCACTGGCCACAGCATCCATCTGCATCGGCTGTCTGGACTGGGCTACCAGAAACACTAATTGCAGCAGTTCTGCTCCTACTTGGATGGCCAATTCAAGGAGCTGATGCTGAGAGATGATTGTCTGAGCCAGTGCCTGGGCAGAGTAATAAACGAGATTTGATCCAAAATGAAGATACTTGTGATGGGTGTTATATCTGCCCAGTTGAGTGCACACTCCGTAAAGGAGAAGGCTGAAAGCTTGTGGATGCTCTTGGATCCAATGTTGTCATTAAAGATGCAGGGGGCCTTATTGCCCCAAGGTTCATGCTCTGGTAACCTCCTGTTTGAATTACTACAGCACGTAATATGTGAGGCTCCACTGAGAACGCTCTAGAAACTTTATTTACAAAAAAAGGAAATGGGTGTAAGTGGTGTAAGCGGGACCACCAGCCATCTGCAGCAACTGCCTCTCTGTTTCGGGGCCAAGTGCAACCTGCTGGTTTTACTCTTTAAAGCCTGCAAGTGGGTTGGGGCCAGGTTACCTGAATGAATGCTCCTCCATCGTTTGCCTACTCAGACATTAAATGTTCACTGGAGGTCCTGTTCCAGGAGCCACGGACAAATGAGGAGAGTGGTTCTGAGGGAAAGGGACTTTTTAGTGGTGGCACTACTGAAATGGAAATGTTCTCTGTAGACAAGCTCCCCTGGCTTTCTGGCAAAATTGAAGAGCTTTTCATCCTCATGTCATTTTTAGAAACTATTTTTACTGTTTAAGTACTTTATTCTACCTCTGGTTTTAGTTTGGTTTTATGGAATTGTGATGGAATTGTTTTATTCTTCATTGGTTTTCTTTCCCATTTTAATGTTTGCACCATATTTTTTTAATGTGTTAATTTTACTGCCAGAGAGCTTTGGTTATTGGGCTGTTTAATATGACAATTAATCAATTAATTAAAAATCCAATAAAACATAGCAAATTAACAGCAGCAGCAGCTAAACCCTTTGATCAAAGTTTATTTCACTGAAATTAACAAAATGCCAATTGGAATAAATGATTGTTTAAAATTCTAGCCTGCATTTATCTGTTTATTACAAATGAATCTACATCCCATGCACATGTAATAAATGAGTGGATGTCCATGTGCAAATGTTTAATCAAAAAGCGGTTCTAAAATAAAATGAAAGTTAAAATCTTTGCCTAATAGTACATGCATCCATGTAACTTACAGGGCCATCACGAGATTTCAGGGGTCCCTGGAGAAGGGCTCCACTGGTGGGTCCCATGTTGTGTCAAAGGGTGGCAGTGGCAATGCTCTAAAGATGATTGAGAACTAGCAGTTAAATTCTCACAACCTCTTGAGTGCCCAAAGTAGGTAAGTCCAGAGCATTCTGGGAAATTTAAATGGTGCCTTGTGGATCCAGCCACCTATACTGGGCGGGTGTCATTGTTGGCTTTACTGGGATCCTAGCAGCTTGCATCTTTACAGGAAGTCTTGTAAGATGTGACATCCCAAGTAGGAGTTATTCAAGAAAGGGCTGTCTGCTTGGATCGTTTTAAAGGGGAGGTGATAAGTTGATGGAGGTCGAGCTATCCATGACTAGTGGTCATGATGGCATGCCTCTGTTGGTTGGTTGTTTGTTATAACTCCAACAACAATGGTTGTTGTTGGACTAGTTGGTTGTTTGTTATAAGTCCATGCTGGCTGAAGGATGCTGGGAGCTGTTGGACTTATTTCTGTCTAAATATGCATAGGATTTTGCCCTAAGTTATAACTTACTGTCCTCAAGATGCTTGTTTCTTGGAGAGCTGCTCCAAGTCAGTGCAGCCAATTTTGAGGTAAGTGGACCAGTGCTTTGACACAGTTTCCTGGGACTCTAAGCTAGTTAAGGAAT